TGCAGAGTAGGTCAAATGGAACCACCACCGAAGGTCACGTATTTGCCTCTGTTTGTATCGGCTCCTACTCTGATCTGTTGCTTGATTGTTTTTCTTCCTACAGATAAGTGTGAGCTAAAGGGCTCCCTCTCCGGTAGTAATGCAGGAATTACAAGCATCGAGTTTGACAGTGCTGTAAGTATTTTTACTTTTATATTTTATCCCCTTTGCCTGGGGAAAAAATAATTTTCAGTAGTTTTGTGCTCTTTCACCAATATCCATGCTCATACTTCTAAATGCATCACTAAATAAATGAGGTAAAGTACCTGCAGGAGCAAGTGACAAATGCATAAAATAGCTGTTTGAGTCCTATAGTTTTTGTAGTGCTAATCAATATCCCACTATTCAGATTTTGACATGGGGAATTTTTAAACTAGATTAGACTTTTCCCAAAACATGAAGTTGCACTGCTGTTTTATGAATGCCATGACATCTGATAATTGTATCTTTTTTGGTTCTACAACATTTATACAGCTTAGTGGTCAGGGTTACATCCATAAGTTATGCTGAAGTTGCTGAATGCTGAAAGGCCTCATTGTCTAAAGAATTGTACTTCCACAACCTTTCAGCCCTCTACCGTCTCTTGCTTCAACCTCAACAGTGCTATGGTTTTGCTGTATGCCTTTGTGAACTGTAAGGCTTAACTACATGTGCATCTGCCATTACCTGATTAGATTTAGTTAATTTTCATTTACATCTATTCAGAACTGAATGGATGGCAGTGAAATTGGTAGGAACTGAGCTAATTTCACTCCTTAGAGCAGTCCAGTTGGGCACAACAGCAGATGCTGGAGCTATGGGTTAGATAGGCCTGGCCCAGAAAGAAGCTGGGTGAAGTTTAAATTGTTGGAGAATCCTAACATCATAGTACCAGTTAAAAGACGTGATTATGGAGAGCGGTGCTGAGACGCAAAAAATGTCTGTCCCTTCCAGCATCATGATTACCATCTTTTCACTTAGGTTAAGTTGCCTTTGGGAATTGGTGGGCTTGTCTCAAGTAAAAAGTGACATCATTATTGAAAGTCTTCAGAGGCCATGACCTCAGCTGTACTCTGCTGCTGTTTTCTTCTTCAAGTGCTTTCTTGGTAGTATGGCTCTAAAGTGAACCCTGTTATATGTTTCTAATTACTTTAGTCATCAGACTTAGGGGAGTAATTGACAGCGGCTTAAAATTGTATAAAATATCATTATTCCTTAAGCTGATCCCTGTAAGATCTAAAATGCTGACCAGCACTTTACTGTTCAGAATGGAGATGTCTGGGTTGTGTGTATAAAAACTCATAGAAGTCTTGTTCTTTTTTAAATGAGACCATTTGGAAATATTGGCTACATGTAGATGGTTTCCTTCCCTCCCCCCCTCCCCCCCCCGAGAAATTTCCCTAAATCACTTTTGTCTTCACAGGGCTCTTACCTTTTAGCAGCTTCAAATGACTTTGCCAGCAGAATCTGGACAGTTGATGACTATCGGTTACGGGTAAGTCTCCTGTAGGAGTCTAGCACAATGGCTTGCTTCTGCCCATATTCTTTGTCTGTATGTTTACTATGGACACCAGGAAATTGCAGATTCCATAGTTACAGGATCTAGCTACAGTTTGTATTCTTGCACAATTCTAATTGACATTTTAACCCTTTTTAACTATAAGGAGCTTTCACAGCATAACCTACTGTGTAGCTTTGGTCTCTACATGCACACTTTAAGAAAACTCACCTAGCAAGTAGTGATGAAACATATGAGCGTTCCTTCCTCTTCTGCATGTATGCCATTACAAAGTATACCTTGTGTGAAGCATTTTGATGTTACATATTTCAGTCTAAGGAAACAAACGTTCGTAATATGGCTTGGGAAGGCAGATAAAAGAAAGTCAGATGCTGCAGCCCTGGCCCCTGTGTGGCTGCGCCCCTCTCAGGCAGCCATTCCTGCCACCCCGCACCACCGTCACCAACCACTGCCCTGTGCCGCCGCCGCATGCTGCTTTGCCACAGCCATCACATGGATGGCTCCATGGGCTGCTGATGGGCCTCCTACAGCCTGTCAGCAGTCCACGGAGCCATGTGTGTGACTGGCCATGGGAAAGTGGGGTGGGGTGGCGGCAGCAGCGCGGGGTGGTGGGTAGTGGCAGCCCCCTTTTGCCTTCCCTGCACCCCCACTCTGCATCTTGGCTGCCGCTACCAGAAGAGGTACACTTGTTAAAAAAAAAAAGGTTGAAAAACCCCGTTCTAGGTTAACATAAAACAAAGGCCACTTCCCTGTAACCCGATCTTTCTCTGCTCAGCAAACTTGTGTCTGTTTCCAGGCCTGCAGAGTTGTTTAGCAAAATCCAGGTCTCTGCAGGAGCCCTGTGCCCTGCAGCCAGGAGCTCCTTACTTCATGGTTGCTGGGGAGAGAGACTCCCTGACCAGTGCAGACTCTGGGCTTGTATAGCTCAAGCCTGTTCCCTCTTATGGTAAGAGGAGTCCCTCAGCTCCCCTTTGCCACCTGCAAGCAGCCTCAGGGGCTGCTTGCTCTCTTAAAGGAGCAGATGCATCTCAATGCCCTGCTACAGAAGCCAATATCACAAAATGCCTCTTGAGATTTTTCTGGACCATCTTGGCTACAGCAACACTCCAACCCTACTAAGCTCTAATAGAAGCTCTTTGTGACCCAACCCCTTTTCTCAGACATTAGATTGAGTTATGGAACTGTTTCTCAGTACGTGGACAGCTTGGTACAGTTTCAAAAGGGCAGCAGTTCTAATTGTTGTGTGAACAACCTGAGAATGATTCAAATATATCAAAACCAGCTCTGGCTTTAAATTTAGATGAAGAAGTGTTAAATTTGGAAGAGTTTTGCTATGTGTGAATTGTTCTCAACTCATTCAGTCACTTTACCAGCTGCTGGCCTTTTGTTTCCTTTTTGAAAAGCTTCCAAATGTTCATGTGAATGCACCCTGAGAGTGTCCATGTTAAATTGCTGAGTGGCAAGACCCCACAGAGCCAGAAGGAAAGAGAGCAAGAATAGCCAAGACTGCTTACTTAAACCATCTAAATCTCCTCTTTCCTAGCACACCCTGACAGGTCACAGTGGTAAAGTCATGTCTGCCAAGTTTTTGTTGGACAATGCGCGTATTGTTTCTGGGAGTCATGACCGGACCCTCAAGCTTTGGGACCTGCGCAGCAAAGTTTGTAAGTCCATCCCAGCACTGTATGCTTTTGTGTTCTGTCCACCTTCAGTTCCCCATAATGTATGTAAATGGAAGTGTTAATCTTAAAGGAGTTGTGCTATTCTTTGGATACATTGACACCACAATGGCAGCAAGTTCAGTTATGCCACTGGGGACTTAACCCTTGCTTTTCAGTGTGCATCTATTCCAAAATGAGGTAGTGAGGGCACCTTGGAGGCATCCAAAACTGCTACATTGAGCACACTAGAATGCAATATCTTGAGTGAAATGTGAAGGGTGCCCTTGCCACCTTATTGCCAAGGGCAATGCACAAGGACTAGGAATAGGTGTGCAGGGCGTATTTTCTTGGCAGCATAATAGTATTGTTTATCACCTCAATGCAAGCATGCTCATGGTATCCAAAGAGTAGGAAATTGTAGCATCTTCTACTATGATTCATATATTTGCATAAAGCAAATCAGGCCTAGCTACTTCCTGGTTTGGGGGAGTAAGAGAAAGAAGAAGACTGTGGTCTACATCTGGTTGATCAGACAGCTGCATTCTGTGGACCCTTTTGTCCTTCAGCCTGTAGGATAAGGTTCTTATTCTTTCCTAGAAACTTGGAGGCAAGTTGGATCTTTTAGCTGAGCTTAGGCCCCTCTTGGAAACCTTACTGGTATTTTTTGTGTCTTAAGTAAAGCAAATAACAAGGTTCAGTTCACTTGTAGCAGAAATGTTTTCCTTACGACAAGCTACTGAAGAATTTTTCTGTGGACTGGCTCTTGAGCATTCTTGATGTAGCAAGATTGTTGTCCAAGATTGCTTTTCTTCCCCTTAATTCTTAGCAGTGCAGAAGTTTCAGTTCAGCTGCAGGATTTAATCGGCATCTTTGATTCTTAGAGGATGATTTTTATTTCTCCTGTTAACTATTTGACTAGCCCAAAGTCTTACCAGTGACTTTCCCTTTTTAGGTATAAAAACAGTGTTTGCAGGATCTAGCTGCAATGATATAGTCTGCACTGAGCAGTGTGTAATGAGTGGACATTTTGACAAGAAAGTTCGCTTCTGGGACATAAGGTAAAACCACCCTTTCAAGCAGGGTGGAAGGGGTAAATGTGGGAAGAGTGTAAGAAATGTTAAAGAATTATTTGGAAGCCCATGAAACAATGTAATTGGAACCTGGATTGCAATCTCCTGTTCTTTCTGGACTGTTTGGAGTATTTGTTACAGGAATGTGAGGGTGCCAAGGGTGAATTACCTTTGTCACACATTACAGTTTCTGGTTATTCTAAGCTGTTAAGAGCAGGGTGTCTTTATGTAAACAGAAGCCTTGTTCTGGGAACGGAAATACCTTGTATTACTCAATTCCTGTCTTTTTTTACTAGTTTTCAGTTTCACTAACCATTTCTGTAGGAAATACGCTCTAGTCTTTGACTAGGCATATATTAGTTGTAATATGGGTGGGACCTTGGTCAGGAAATCTAGAAAGTATGAAGAACTCAAAGAATCCCTCTTTTTCCATGCCTTTACAAAGGGGAGAAGTGTAGGGATGTAGATTTTGATAAGTGACAGGATTTTCAGCCCCAAATAACTCGTGCTGTTCTTTGTCTTCAGGTCTGAAAGCATAGTACAGGAGTTGGAACTGCTTGGGAGGATCACTGCTTTAGACCTGAATCCAGAGAGAACAGAGCTCTTAACCTGTTCCCGAGACGATTTGCTGAAGATCTTTGATCTACGGGTTAATGCTGTCAAACAGACCTTCAGGTGAGCATGGTCCCCATCACCTCTAAAGCAGGTGACTCGGTAGCATAGTGTAGCTTTCCCTTGGCTCTGCGTCCACCTGTCTGATGAAGCATGCTAACCCCCATTATTTGTGCCTCAAAAAAATGGTGGCAGCCTAAGCAGGAGAGCACTTCTGGCCAATGCAAAGAACTGCTGAGGGATAGGTGCCTTGCACTGGTCAAGAAATAAATTTATACCACCGTGTGCAGTTATCTTCATTTTGTCCTTTTATAAAGAGTTGGCTTTATCAAGACTCATAGTAGAGGAAAGTAACGACTGTCTGGTTTTAATTTGCTTCAGTGCCCAGGGATTCAAATGCGGATCTGACTGGACCAGAGTTGTATTCAGGTGAGAGGCCAAATGGGGAAACTGAATGGAGTTTCGGATGGAAGGAAGCAGCAAATGCTGGTTTGCTTGACAGCCTCTGTGGTGTTGTTTGTGTAGGGGCGGTGGGTGGCGGAGTTATTGGGTTCTGGACCAGCTAATTAGCAATCAACGTATGCATGGTCACTAATTTGTTTCTTGATTGTTTTTGTTATATTACTAATTCTGAAATTATTTTTGCAAGTTCTACTATAGCCAGTACTGCTAACCATTAGAGCTCCACAGGCACACTTACAAATTTGCAGTCATTATGGCTAAATGGGTCTTCAAAGTTGGACGTTGAAAAACTTTAGCATCTGAAAAATTCAGGGAAGATGGTACAGGTAAAGTTCACTGCACACACAAATACATTAAAAGAACATTCAGGTTGCAAGATCAAGAAAATGTCAGAATTAATATTATCTATACAGCTTCAATTTTGACCCCTTGAAACATTAAAATAACTTGCCTGAGGTGGAAGGAGACTGCAGTCTTTTTCCTTTCTTTGTAGTCTGTCTCTTCCCATTTTTCTCATTTAGCCAGTTCTGGGATCTCTTGTCTGCTCTGGGGTCATGCCAGTTTGCGCACAGTACCCTTACTCCTGGAAGACCTCCTCTTCTCAGTTCTAGCACTAAAACCGCTTGGAACACTTACTCTTCCTTCTGCCACCCTGAATTGGAATGTGTGCGAATCTTCAGAACATCTTCACAGAATGTAGCTGTCAGATTCTAACAGACTCTGTTGAACGTGTGTGAACTACAGTTATTCAGAGGTTTATATCCTGGTCAGATTTAGGCAGCATTGCTCAGGAATGAGAAGAGGCATGTCCTTGACAGCAGGATGATCCTCCTGCCAAATTTTGTCCACCTCCCAAAACGTGTAGACATTGAAAGTTCTCAAGGAAACAGTTGTTAAGAATCATTTTAACATGTGAAACTTTTTCTTATATCACTCTCAAGAAGAAGAAAAGAGCAAAACCATTTTGCTACAATTTTTCACAAAAAAAAAAAAAAAAAAAAAGCTTGAGATATCCACTCCGCAATGGAAATTTCAGCCTGAGGGGCTAGTGTAGGAAAGTTCTAAGCAATTGAAAATAGTGTCTTCTAATGGGAAGTGTTGAGATGTTGAACATGTGAAATACTGCCTCCTCTTCTAATAAAGGTTAATATTTTTAAACAGTAGGACAAGGGGGATTCAATTTAAAACTGAAAGAGAGAGGCTAAGATTTAACCTTTAACTTTTTTTTTAATATTTAAAGCACGCGGCAGGGGAACTAGGACTGGCATGTGTATATAGATACGGCTTATCTTGTGCACTTCATGAAGTTTTACCCTCTTGGCTGTCCCCCCACCCTGTAGATGATGATAAACTTCTAGTGGTTTAGGCTGCCTCACATGTGTAAGCAATCTAGCACAAGGAAAAACTGTTCTTGAGGCCTTTAGTTGTTATGATAGACTTTCATTTAGCTGCCTAATGTTAGGAGTCAAGTAGAGCAAAAAGAAATGTTGTTCATTCCTAGAAGTCCAAGATCAGTCGTATTATCCCTGTTTTACAGATGGGGAAACAGAGGCCCAGAGTTTGACTGACTAATCCAAAATCTCCCTTTTATGTCTAGCAGATCTCTTATGAAATGCTGGGTGTGAAATCATTATCTGGTTTGAAAACCCATTGATTTTTTTTATTTTATCATTTTTTATTTTATTTATTTAATTTTTTTGCCAACTCTTTGCTAGCTGGTGTGAATAAGAGCTGTTTGTACCTCAGCCTTTGGTAGTGTGGTCTGTCCTGAAGTCATTAATGTCAGCATGGTTTGTTCGAGGAATAACAGTATGGAGAGAGATGGTGTGTAGCCAAAAGCTGCTGATTCTAATATTCTTTTTCTTTTCTTCACTCAATATATTTTAATAGCCCTGATGGCAGCTACGTGGCAGCTGGTTCAGCTGATGGGACCCTGTACATTTGGAATGTGCTCACTGGGAAGGTGGAGAGAGCTCTTGCAAAGCATCACAGGTGAGATGGGAAGGTGTCTGACTAATCTCATGCAGGTGTCTGGGGTGCTGCTGGAGCCAAGATGTTTAGGATGTAGACCTCTGGCTTTCTGTGGATAAGGGTGTGGGATTTTAATCTGTAGGTCCTCCTATTTATTCATGTTGATATCCCGTGTAATGGAATTAAGGCCAAGATATTGTTATTCCCTTGCTTGTTGGATTACATGTTTTTTCTGACTTAAAGATATCTGACTCCAGTGGAGTACATTAAATATAGTGCATACTAATTGAGCAAATAGTATCCCTTCCTGACTTCTAAAGATGCGAGTCTCATGAGTCAAGAATGAATTATTTTGTTGGAAATCAGTCCCCTTCTAAATGCTCTTGTGAAATTAGACTCTGTTCTAAATAGACACCGGACTTCCTTTCAGCTCCTCTATCAACGCAGTGGCATGGTCACCAGCCGGTGCTCATGTGGTCAGTGTGGACAAAGGAAACAAGGCTGTCGTGTGGTCTGAATTTTGACTGGAAGGAGAATGAAAGGCAGAGCGTCAGACGCCTCCCTATATGAGGGTACTCATCCATGGCTGGACAGAATGGAGACCCAAGTGCAGATCCATCTTTGGGTGTGCTATGAAGTTTGTGGGCTTTGCCTTCCAGAGGAGATCTCTGAGGCAATCAAGGAGGAAGAGCCAGAGTCAGTCTTTGAAGGCCTGTCACCCTGCTGTTGGCACTCAGACTTCTCAAGTGATTAGCTGATCTGGATGATAGTGCTACTAGTCATGCCTTTTTATATGTGGTACCTATGCACTGAATGGAGCCCAAGATACTAGACAGATTCCCTCACCAGACAGCAGTGCCAAATATCCTGTTATGCAAATGTATCTGCGACACTTCCAAGTCAGGAGTGTGCTGTAAAGAAGTTACTGTGTATTCTGACCTAATGCATGTCCTGTCTCCTGTGTTCTGTTCCTGTGGACTAGCTTAGGCCTGGGGTGTGGAAATCTGAAGCACGGACAGGGTGGGTCCTAGTCGATCTGTAAGATGATGGAACAGTTACAAACTAATTCCAGTTGTCTTAGTGCTCTGACAGCTCTGGCTCCTGAGTTATTGGCTCAGTGCAGAGCTCTTCCAGTTACGACAAGGTCACTGCAGCAGTTGCAGTCTGAACTCCCTGCATCAGCTTGAGCTTTATTTCGGGGAACTGTTCATTCTCAGGGCAGCTGCACCCTTTGTTAAAACTCTTTACAAGAGCTCCCCTAGCAGCAATACCAAAAACTTTGGGGACGATTTATTTGCATTCTTACCTAGTAGGTGGGAGAGATGTGCAACTTCTGCCATGCTGCTGTGATGAAGAATGTATTTATGCCTTGACTTCTGGTACCAGAACTTAATGCCCAGTCCCTTTTGCTGTCCAACCATCCTTCTGCACTGGAGGCTGTTGGTAGAGCGCAGGGGAGCTAAAGGCTTGAATCCCAAATGTAGAACTTTGGTGCTGGCAGTTCCAGGCCACTTGCCCCCCATCTCTGAGCACATGTGCAATATTTCTGTGTGCTGGAACCTAACAGCTGCTGTGGAGCAGGGTCTTTCCCTGTGTCCTCAGACATCCAAATTGGTAATGGGATTGAGGTGGGACTAACTGTGGCATAACTTTTATCCAGCCAAATTTTTCCATGTCAGATTGGCCTCAAGACAAGCCACCAACGTTATAACACCTTTTTATTTGCACTTTATTTTGCTTCCTTCCTGGGGCTCATTTTCTAAGGAAGTGTGTTTTTGAAGGATTTCAGGGTTAGGAGAGAGAGTGGTTGCTGTAACAGCGCGCTTGGTCTCTCTCTTCCTCCCTCCTCTCTTTTCTTCCTCCCCACCCGGGGTTCTTCATTCGGACAACTTCTGTAGAGGGGAGTTGGGAGTATACAGAGCAAATCTTTTATTTATTCAGCTGCTCATCGGAACTTGATTGTAAATAAACCTGTGTTCTGCTTTTAAAACCTACAGTATTTCTTATTAATTTGTGTTTATACTTGTCCTGGAAGAAAAGGGAAAATATTTTCAGATTTCCTCTACACTTCTACACTGGCAAAGTGTGTGTGTGTGTGTATGCATGCACAAGTGCACATGAGAGAGAAAGGGGTACTGATTAGTGGATTGTGGCCTGTACTTGACAGGTATGTGTCCAAGGGGTATTAGTCTTTATAGCCAAATCTATATGGTCTTTTATCAGAAATACTGTTTTGAGACTATAGCAAAAGAAGCGGCTTCCTCATTGTTTGTACTTTTTTTTTTTTTTTTTTACAGTGTGACCTATCTTTGAATCTTGAAAGGTTAATGTACATACTTTGATGTGAGGGAGAGATTACTGAATTCAGGAATATGGATTGTCCCTGTTCACCCAGGAATACAACACAGGAGATGGTCTGTTTCTCCCTTGCTGTTTTAACTGCTGTCTTGCCTCTCAGTTTCATAATACAGACCAAAAAATGGTGGTATAAAAACTGTGTTCCAGGGATGGGCAATTACTTCGGCCCATGGGCTACGTAGACAGTTTTTTGCTGAGCTGTCACAGGCCACGTCAGCACCACCACCCCCTCCCCCCCTTACTCCTCACACAACACCTCAACAAAACTCTATGCGGGCTGCAGGCCTGTGGGCAGTGGTGTTTGGGAGTGGGACAGGTGAGCAAAGCTGGGATCATGTGGCAGAGTCATGGGGGAGTAATAGCATGATGCAGAGCTGTGATCCACTGCCTGCACGGCCCTGCGATAGGCGTGGGTTCCACGGGTAGGGATGTGCAGGGAGCGGATTGCAGCTCTGCCCCGGCCCCACACAGTCACTGCTCCAAGAACCCAACCCCAGACGCAGCTTCCCATCAGTGTGGCCTTGTGCTCTGCCCCTATGGCTCCTAACTGGTCTGCGCTGAGACCCCAGGATCATGGGGTTATGACGGCTGAGGACCAGGTCTCGGGCAGAGCTGCAGTGCACTCCCAGCACCTCCCTGCTTGCAGAACTGGGGCTCTGCCCTAGTCCCATGCTGTCACTGCCCTGCGGTCCTGCAGTCTCTATTGAGACTGGGTAGGAGCCACATGGGCAGGGTGCATAGCCGGGCACATGGGGAGCTGCATCCAGGGCTGGGATCATGGGGTGATGACGGTATAGGGCCAGGGCAGAGCCCCAGTTCTGCAGACAGGGATGTGCTCGGAATGTTTCACGGCTCTTCCCCAGCCCTGTCTGCACTGTCACCACCCCAAAATCCCAGGGTCTCCTGCCTGCCCGCCTAGTCTCGCCTGCCCATCTAGCTCCTAGACACTGCTCCCTACCAGGCTGTGGCTCCATCCCAGCCACCCAGCTGTGCACCCTGCCTGGTGGTGGGGCAGATGGGCTAGGATGTCCAGGCAGTGGGGACTAGGGTTGACAGCTGCAGCAGCCAGAAAGAGCTGGCACTGGGGCTGCCAGGAAATGGAGTTGGGCCGCCACACCACCCCAGCCCCACTGCATGCCCAGGGGCAGCAGGACTGGCTGCACACACCACAGCCTGCGTTGCCCTCCGTGCCTGGGCAGGGCAGAACAGAGGGACCTGCTGTGGGCTGGAGCAAATCCCTCAGCAGGCAGGGTTTTGCCCATGCCTGTACACTAAACAGTAAGATAACCCTAGGGCCAACTTGGGAGTAATGAAACCTAACCATCTAAGTCCTCTTGCACCTGTATCTTGTAAAATTAATTGGGGCTCATTGTAGAGGTGATATCTTTTATTAGACCAACAAGATTTTTGCAAAAAAATTCTTTAATTGCAAGCTTTCAGGCACAAGTGCACTTCATCAGGCATTGGAGAAAAGATTGTAAAAGTTCTCCTGGCTAGAAATGGAAGTTCATATTTCAGAGGACTCAATAGGTGGAAAACTCCTCTGGGCAGGCAGTTCTTAGCTGGTAAGGAGTCTCTCAGCTCTCCTGTGTAAAATTAAGATATTTTCTTAGCCAATCTTCTCCTGTGTTGGTGAGAGATGAAAGCAAAGTCAGTTAATGGTTTTTGTTTTTCAAATAATGAGAGAGGATGACAGACAAACTGCAGTTCTACTGTCAGCTATGGGGACCAGTTGCTCTAAAATGTGAAGGAACCGCTTTGAGAAGGAATCACACTCTATCCACTCCCAGAAACTTTCTTCAGAGAAGTGTGTTATTACACTACCTCTGCAAAGGCCCCTGTCCTATGCCCAGCTGACCTCAAGAGGATTGCAGATAAACGGATCATTCTAAGTGATGAGTCGGTGAGATGAAATATTACCAGGGATTAACTCTGCCATAATAAGAACTGTGCAGGTTGTGATGGAGAGGATCAGGATGGCTTAAGATGTTGATAATTTTTTTCTACAACATAACAGTTTGGATTGAATGTTTTGATGCAGGAGACTTCTGTTTGTTGAATGCTCCTTAGCCAAATAACATTGAACATTCCAAAACAAGGGGTAAAAAGTAGGTCAATATTATAATTTTTAAGCATTGTTTATGCAACAAAGATAACCACCAGTTCCACTCATACACTTATCAAGTGTAACTAACGTCTGTCTAACTAGTTCAGGTTGTACCTCTTCCAAGATGGAGTGAACTTGATTAACTTTCTAACAACTGCAGTCTTGCAAGACATAAGCCAAAGAATTCTAGTTTGGTGACACTGGTAAGGGAATGAGGTCATGACCTGCTTTTTTCAAGGGTGCAGCTATTTCATGATTGACAGTACTTTCAAGTAATTTAGAATTAGGGAAACCAAACTTGCCACTTCAGGAAGATCCTTTGAAAAATTCTCTTATGACGGTGTTGAACAAAGGAATGGAGTCTGCTCTGCTTCCGTATAAAACATAACTTCAGATTGAAAAGGATCCACGTTCTTTTCATTTTGTCCTGAGAAGATGGCTGTAGCTTCTTGGAATTCTTTTGATCTTTTGGAATTTTGCTGTGCTTTTTTCTCTCTAGGAATTGGATAGGTCTGCATCTAGAAGGCTATAGGGCAGGGACGGACAATTATTTTGCGGGGAGGGCTGCTTACCCAGTTTTGGCAGGCTGTCAAGGGCTGCATGGGTAGCCCCGCCCCTTGACATGCCCTGCCCCCCGGTCACCATCTTGGGACCAATGTCTCAGGGTCAGCACCGGGGCACAGGCTGGCAGGGTTCTATGGGGCTGGGCTGGGCTGCACTAGCAGGGAGCTGGCCCGGCTCTATAGAGCCCCTGCCAGCTGGGATCCATCGGCACTGGCCCCAGCCCCAGGACACTGGTGCAGATCCCGTGCTCCTGCTGGCTCCTGTACCTGCTCACTCCCAGTGCCCCCCAGCCCTACGGTACAGGCAGCGCACAGCATCAACCCCCTGCTGACCGGCAGGGATGAAATGTGCTGAGCATGAGGAAAAGTGACCCCACCCCGTGGCCTGTGCTCCCTGCTGCTGGCGTTCGCAGCCCACGCGGGGCTGTCTGGAGCAGGCACAGGCAGCCCCACATGGGTTGCAAGCGGCTACAGTGTGGGGCCCCAGGCATGGGGCAAGCGAGAGGTCACTTTCCCTGTGCTCAGTACCAGCTTGTAACCCAGCCCCACTGCCAGCCTGGGCTCTGCGCGAGCTCCGTGCTCACCGGTTGGGGCTGCACACGGTGGCAGCAGGTGCGGCCCCCCCCACTTGCCACACCGGGCAGCGTTGGTTGCTGCTGCTGCCCACCCAGAGTTTGTGTGCTGGGCAGCCCAGAGGTGCTGTGCTGGGCTGCGTTTGCCGCCGCCAAGTGGGGGTTCTGTAGTTGCTGTTGCCATGCACAGCCCCAATGGGCAAGCCCGGAGCGGGTGCGGGGCCCAGGCTGGCGGTGGAGCCGGATTACAAGCTGGTGCTGAGCGCTGGGGGAAAGGAGGCCCCTCACCTGCCCTGTGCCTGGGCACTGCAGCTGCTCACGGCCCACCTGGGTCTGCCTGTGCCTGCTCCAGACAGCGCTGCATGGGCTGCGAGCAGCTGCAGCAGGGAGCGCCAGCCATGGGGTGGGATAGGGGCCGCTTTCCTCCACGCTGGGAAGGAGCCTGGGGAAAAGCTGAGCGTGGCGGGTGGAAAGTAGCCCCTTGCCTGCCCTGTGGCTAGTG